AGGGCCCGGCGCCCCTGGGCTGTAATCCATAGCTGAATAAAGACCCTTCAAGGCTTCCACAGCCCAACGTGCACAGGAAACAAATTTAGGAAATCCAGCTTTCTGTTACAGGAAATGAATCCTACCCCAACTGGTAGAAATTACTCCGGCAGCTCCGAAGGAAAATGAATACTGGCTTCTATATGTATTCCATAAACTGACCTCGCCTTGACCAGCAAGGTTTTATTGATATAGAATTTCAAAGGTGGGATTCTAGACCCAGCCGCGTGGATGGGGAATCTCAGAGGGGGTTTGGGAACAGGAGAGCTTTCTGCAAGTTTTCACTAAAACTTGATTTAGCCTTCTTTCTGGCACTTGGTGTATTTACGTAAACAGATCTGTATTTTGTGGCACACATCTTTTGAAATAGTCTAGAAGGCTGATCAATGAAATATTAATGCTAGTTATGCCTTTTGTTAACAGGGTTGTGGTTTACTTTTTTTCTTATCTATTTTCATATATTCTACCATAAGCAGGACACGCGTGTGCAAAAAATAAAAAAGAAACTAAGAAGGTGATACTGACCTCTATGAAGACACCAAAGGCCCCCCCAAAAAAAAAAAAAAAAAACAAAAAAAAAACAATTTTTTTCATCCATTACTCAGAATCTTAGAAAAAAAACAAAACAAATCTGAATTCTAGTACAATTAAGGGACAGAAGAGAGAAAGGACTGTTCACTTCAAGAAAAAGGCGCTAAGAAGCACAAAGCATTCCATGATTTACAGTCCCGTGATTTACAGTCACGGGAGGGTCTTTGCACAGCCCCAAAGCAAGTATATCGAAGTCGGGAGGGACAGGCACCAAAGACCCCACGTACGCACGTCACAGCCAACAGGCCTAGCAGGAGCTCAGAGGCAGAAGTGCCGGCTGATCTTGATCAGGTCCCCGACATTGGGAACTCGTCCAAATTCCATCAAGTACCCCCATAAGTTGCTGTTCCCTGTCCACAACTACCAAGAATCGGGTCCTTTCTCACACCTACCACTCGGGGGTAGCGTCCTCCCATTCCCGAAGGGAAAAGCGAGATTGAACAAAATGACGACAAATCTGGAAAGTGTTTGGTTGCCACGCCCCAGGCCTGGGTAGGACAGCGGGGTCATCGCTCCCTCCCCCTTCTCTCTTTCTGCATACAGTTCCCACCTAGGAATCCGGCCAAGGGCTCCCACAGTTTTCATTCTGAAAAGCCTGCTTCAGATGTCAATGGTCACGATGAACCCGGCTTCGCAGCTTGAGCTATTGCACAAACACCACGCAGAGCGGAAGGAGGTGCCTTCCAGGGGACATATTCCATTCCCCCCCAAAAAGGAAGAGGAAGTGACTGGACAGGGCATGAGACATGCAAGCGTCCTTTTGTTTCTGAACTTTGGAAAAGATTCCCATTGTGCTGTCCCCCAGCCATCATCTAGCAGTGGCTCTCTGAAAGTCTCAGATGAGTCCAGGCCTTGCAAGCACTTATTCACTCAGAGAAGCCCCCTCCTTCCTAAAATGAACGAAAAATTAACTGAGAGTCCTTGAAACATTGGTGGAAAAGTAAAATCGTTTTTTAAAAAAAAAATTCTGGGACACACTCTGGTCATTTTTATCATGGGCCTTAAAAACACCCATTTGATTTGACCCATGGGATTTCCTGACTGACTGTTTAGTAAGGGCCTCGTAATACCCTCTGGTGGGTCCCATGTCACAAACACATGGAGGCACAACAAGGATAAGTAACTGGCCCAGGTGTGGAGCTGGGACCCCAAGACTCAGGGGTTCAACTGTCCCACTCTTGCGACCCTGGGGGTACCAGGCTACTGTCTTGTCAAATGTTGACGCCAGAAAGCCTAGCCCATCGCAGGCACTCAAATACACCTGCTGAATTAATGAACCCAGTAACACCATTTCTAGACATACCAGGTGTGAGGATGCTCACTGAAATGTTTATAAATATTATTGCTAAAAATTAAAAATAACCCAAATCTCAGTAATAGGAGAACTGTTAAAGATATTAGGATACATACATATGTAGCAATTCCAGAAAATTGTTTTTAATAATATTTGAGAAAATTAGTAAAGAGGCATGATAAAATATTAAGCGAAAAAGGAAGATACAAAATCATATCTATATTTAAACGCCCATTTTTTTAAGGAAAAAAATGTAAAATGTTAGAAGGCTATATATTAAAATGTTCTTAGTGGCTTCTGAAAAATAATTTAGTAAAATAATTGAGTTTGGGATCCAAAAACGAACTCCCTAGGTTAGAACCCTGGCTCTGTCACTTTGGGGGTTGGTGTCGTGAGATTAATTAGCAAAGGAAAACGGTAACTTTACCTTGAGGAAATGGAGATAGCACCTTGGCCAAGTGACCACAATCAACATCACCAAGAGTGGGACACGCCAGTATCATGTGACTCCTGATAACGTGCGCTGAGGACACTGCCCAAAATGCACAGCCCGAGTCTGCACCATAAAAAAAAAATGTGGGACGGGCCCAAATGGAGAGACGTTTCTACAAAATACTTGGCCTATCTCCTGCAAAAGTGTCAAGGTCAGGGCGGTCCAGGAAAAGGGAAGAACTGTTTCGACTAGAAGAGACTGAAGAGGCGTGGCAACTGGATGGAGCGTATGCTCTTGGACTGAACCCCGACCTGGGGAAAATTCTTTTTTGGGGGGGGAGGGGGTAAAAAAGTAACTTAGTAGCACAGCTGATGAAATTGAAGATCTGTGGGTCAGATACTAAATAATATTGTCCTGATATTAACGTGCTGACTCTGATAAAGGTCTTCATTTTTCAGGAACAAAAGTAAAATATTTTAAGAGTAATAGAGGGTCCTGTCTGCAGTTTACTTTTCAAAGAGAGAGAGAACGATAAAGAAAAGGTGGGGAAACGCTATCTTTTGAGGAATCTGAGTGACGTTTTGGTAAATGGAAATTCTTTGCACTGATTTTATCACTTTTCTGTAAGTCCGAAATTATTTCAAAATAAGAAAGTTTAAAAAAAAAAAAAAAACCAGTTGACTTTAGGCTAAATGTTTAACCTCTCCATCTCCGAATTTTCTGAAAGTGAGGATAATAACAGTGCCTCTCGGTTGGTGGAGAGAGTAAATGAGATAATACACGGAACGTACTTCATGTGGGTCCTGATGTCTATTTTGATCCTTTACGGGTGAGACTGCAATGGACCCATTTTCCTCTTTACGGTCTTCTGAAATTTCCAAATTTTCTACACTAAAAAACAATTGCTTTCATAATCAGAATAATGGTTTTCTTTAAGGAAGAAGTAAGGAAAACTGGAAGTAAAAAACACAGACCTGTGTCTGAATGACACTCGGATCAGGGGGACAAAAGATTTGACTCTATTTTCATGCTGGGCTAGTTCTCTGCCTGCACATACGCAGAGGGTGTTCCTATCATGTGACACCCTAAAAGGAAAGGCGATTAGGGCTTATTGCAGAAAACATTAAAGGAACAACTGAGCTGCCAGGCTCTCTGCTCTTGAATGTGGAATCAAATGAACTCTTTTGGTTTTAGCCAGAGAATATGCTGAGATAGGAACAGCGACTTAAAAATACATGGTTTAAGGGACTTCGTCAAAATTAGAAACTTTTGCATTTCCAAGGATACCATCGAGAAAATGATAGCCTCTAGAATGAGAGAACGTATTTGCAAATCATATATCTGAAAAGAGATTTATACAGGCTATGGAAAGAACTCATAATTTAAAGACAAAAAGACACATGACACAATTAAAAGCGGGCAAAGGACATGGAAAGACGTTTCTCCAAAGAAGATACACAAATAGCACATGAAACGATGCTCAGCATCATTCACCGTCAGGGAAATGCAAACCAAAACCACAACGAGATTCCACTTCACATCGACTAGGATGGCTAGACTCAAAAGGACCAATGATGACAAGTGTTGGCAAAGACGTGGAAAAACTGGAACCCTCATACGCTGTTGGTGGGAATGTCAAATGGCACGGCCACTTTCGGACAGTCTGGCAGTTCCTCACAAGGTTGAACATGGACTTACCATATGACCTGGCAATTCCTCTCCTTGATATACACTGAGAGACGAAAACATATGTCCACAAAAAAACTTGTACACAAATGTTCATAGCAGCATTATCCATAATGGCCAAAAAAAAAAAAAAAAAGATATACAATCGAAATGTCCAACCACCAATGAATGCATAAACAAAATGTAGTGTTATCGATACAATGGAATGTTACTCATTCACAAAAAGTCATGAAATTCTAAGACATGCTACAACATGGATGAAATCTTGCTAAGTGAAAGAAGCCAGACATGAAAGGTCACATGTTGTATGTTTCTATTTGGATGAAAGTTCCCAAATATCCGGATAGATAGAGATAAAAAGTAGTTGCCGAGGGCTGGGGTGCAGGTGGGGGTAAGGGATCTAAGGGGAAATGAGCATGGAGTGCTTCCTTTTAGGGTGATGAAAATGCTCTAAAATTAATTGTGATACTGGTAACATAACTCTGAATATACTAAAACACACACACACACTAAACCATATAGTGAGTGACTATGGTATGTGGATTTTATCTTAATAAAACTGTTATTTTTTTTTTAAGGGGATGTGATTTAAATGGGACCTCGTTAAACCTATAAGGTAAATGAGTGACTATGGTATGTGGATTTTATCATAATAAAACTTATATTTTTTAAGGGGATGTGATTTAAATGGGACCTCGTGCCCCTACGGGCTGGCCACCAGAATGACGAGCAAGATCTCTTGCTCTTTCCTAATGCAGGGCAGATCTCAAGTCCATGACTATCTCTCCAAAGGAAGATCCACTCCTGCGCGTATTTGCAAACGCACTTCCCCAGGGGCCCTGCGTCACCCCGGCTCTGTCTGTCCTGACAGGTGGCTCCCTTAGGGAGCCACTCCTAGAGCATGTGGAAGATGAGGCAGGGCATCTGTGCAGCATGAGGCGCCTGCCCAGCACTTACCTCGTCCGGGCTGGATGCCTGGTACACGCGGCATGAGTCTTCGTACTGCTTCTCAGCCTCGGCCTGGTCGGTCACACCGTTGGACTCGTACACAGGAGTCACGTTGTGGCAGAGGGCGATGGCCTTCACGGCTTCGTGCACACGGCTGCTCATGGTCCGCCGGACTTTGGTGGTGAGCGTGGGGCCCTTCTGAGCAGGTGGGTCCTGGGATTGCTGCGGGAAGGAGAAACCAACAGGAAGGTGAAGAGAGGCACAGAGGGTCTCGGAAGTGTGGGGGGAAAACCATGTGGAGTTACTGCTTTCCTTACGTAACTAATGCTAATACGGCTCTAATCCGTAACTCTCGGCTGTGCTATGAATGGCATGTCACTTTCAGAGATCCAATCAGTTATGCTCGGCAAAAAATAAAAAGGCAAAATAAATACAGAAAAGAAATTACAACTTACTGAGAGCGGGTGTGTCTACCTGTGAACTACTGTTTTCAATGTACGTTCTTCTTGGTTTAAAATAAAAGGCAAGGACCTCAAAAGGTCTACGCAGGTAACCACCACCTGTAACACGTAAGCCAGGCCTGGGCCAGGGAGCTGAGTCAGCAACAACCAGACAGAAACCTGGCCAGGTGAACACACCACACAATGGTGCCCAGCACTACGCTTAAGGTAGATTCTCAAAAGTAATTTTGAATGTGCTCAATGTTTACCCTAACTCATCTAAGAAGCCATGTTGTTGCTTACACGGCCCTCCTCCATCCCTCTGTTCGTACCTTTCGACACATGGCTGGGCCTCCTTAGTGGGTCAAGTCTTGGGAAAAATGGTTTCAAGCAACATGGTAAGAAGAGTACTGAAGATTAAGAAATGTGGGCTTTATTCTTGGATGGATTGTGAATAGCTATGTGACCTCGAGAAAGTCACATCTGCTCTCTGGGTCTCAGTTTCCTGCAAATGAGAATAGTAGGCTGGGGGTGGGGAGAAGGGGCGTGTTCAACCCACACTTCACACCTGAGCGGCAGGAATCCTGCAGAACCCGCTCAGCACACCCAAATGCGGGGGGCAAGCAGCCCACGCCTATCTGTACACGTCGGGGTGAAGGCCTTCCTTTGAAAAAAGAGATCTCCTGCCTTGAAATATAATGAAAAAATTAAGACCACTGGGAAAAGATCGCCTGTTAGCTGTGTCTGTCTCAATGTTCAATAAAAGCCAGATGCCTTCCCATGGCCCACAGGGCCCACCTGATCTGGCCCCACCCACCTCTGCAACCCCCTTTCATGGCATCTTCCTCCTCATTCTGTCTGCTCCAGCCGCGGAGGCCTTTCTGTTCTCCGAACACTGCTGAGCTCCTTCCTGCCTCGGGGCCTTTGCACTTCCTGTGCTCGCTGCCTGGAACACCATTTCTGCAGGGCTGGCTCACTCCATCTCAGCATCGAGGTCTCAGTTCCCATGTTACCGCCTCGAAGAGGCCTTCTCTGAGCCCCCTAATTAATGATGCCCCCCACTTGCCCTCCCCCCGGAAGTCATGCTTCCACATTACCCTGTCTTATGAGTTACTGTCCTCACTGCCTAACACTGGATTGTTTGCCTGCTGATTCTCCTGCTGGACATGAAAACAGCTTGTCCATTACATCCCTAGTACCTAGAGCAGGAGATGTTCACTGAACAAATGAATGACTTAATATTCCCAAGGTGATGGTGGGAAGGTCCTCCCTTGACATGAATTTTTTTTCCATCTCCAATAAGAAACAAATGTCAAATTGACCATCAGTTCCAAGTTTTAAATCACGGTTTTGGACAAAGGACCTGCAAGAGTCTTCCTGCCTCCATGGCTGAGTCCCGGAAGCAGAGATGTGTATGGACTTACTGGATGCAACATTCCCCTAAAAACATATTTTATCTAACAGAGGAAAAGCGATCCGATCTTTTAGAATGAATCGTATTCCGTACCCATAAACACATGGTCGCCCAAAATAGAGACCAGATGGATTACGAAAAACAAGAAAACGACTTTCATTTCATTTTTAATACTATTTTTAGCAGCGGCATTAGACTCTTCAGGTAATTAGACAATTACTAAATTATTCTGGTCATGTAGGCACACACACTGCTCTGGCTTCCTGCTCTGTTAACCTCTGGTGTCAAGAGGACACGAGTTTCACTTCCAGGCCAAAGGGCACTGCATGGTAACGATAATTAGAGTAATGAATCAGAACTACAGTTTAAATGAATCATTACTTTGCCAAGTGCTTTTGATTATTAAAAAAACTTAACTCTAAAATTATAACAAGGACCGAAGATTTACAGAAAGGTTCTCTCTGCTGGAGAGACTAAATCGAGAACGTGTTTTCTAAGTTCTGAAATTTTTATGTTCCAGCCACGGATGCGTGTCTTTATTTTTGCCCACATTCCTCAGCACCTGGACCAAATTATGATTTAACATGAGGGGCAATAACCAGACCTTTGACAAAGTAATTGCTCTGGCTGGCAAGTTTTTGTAACCGTGTGTTTGAATGAAAGGCTGAGTTACGGGCACCCTTTACAAACCTTTGGGTTTTATAAGCAATCTGACTGCAAGTCTACAGAAGTCAAATCCTTCCACTAACATTTCAAATGTGGGATAATACAGAGCTCTGGGGTTTTGTACGCCAGGTGAAACCAGTCCAGAAAAAGGCAGAAACACAGACAACCCAGATTTTTTCGAAGACCTTATTTCAGATCAGATACGCATTTGACAACAAATCAGAAGATGAAGATGATTAGCCGAGACCAAGCATCGCAGGCAAGTGGTTTAATGTCTCCAGGTTCATTTATTTCTCTCTTAAATTAGTACATATGCTCATTCCTACTGAGCTGTTGCAGGGAGGAGGGGTCGTAACCATTGACTCTGAAATTCCCTCTTAATTTTCAAATAAAAGGCTCATACACACACCGAATGGGAATCCACCTAGATCATTAAAGCCCTGGTAATTACCGGGTTTGGCCGGTATCAGTGTTAGGCCCTGTCTTCAAACATCCCCACATTCCCCATATGGAAGAGTTTCACATTGTACAGTGTTTATCTCTGGCCTCCTCCCCATCAGCCCTTTAACCTACACACATTTCTTCTTACTTAAAAAATACCAGGGGAAAATAAAAACAGATGTGGTATCCACAGAGGCAGGTTAAGACTCTTTCTGCCCTGGGGAGAAACCACTGGTCCTCTTAGGGAGAGAGGCCAAAACAGGAGGTCACAGAGTTGGGGAAGAACCAGGATCTCTGCATACAAAGGCCCCTGATTTGGGCTCCTGTACCATATAATGCTTTGAGGCCATTCTACAGCATCCCAGCAACAAATGAGAGGCCGAGAACCAGTGATAAAACAGGCCTCCAATTCTCATCCGTGATCCAGGGCAGGGCCCCTTTCCAGGGAGAATTCCAGCCTGTACATCAGGGGTCACTGATACAAAAATTAAATATTGAGTCACCATGAATATCAGTGTTCTTTCTAAGCGCAGTTAAAACTTCACCATCACAATTATATTATCCACGTCAGTGGATAAGAAAATTACTATTATCCACTCATGATATTAATGGATATTATGGATGGGTTACGATGGATACGAACACGCTGTTGAAGAGAAGAGTTCCTGTTTCGAAAGCCTCACTTTGCTCTCCCAATAAAGCTCAAAGCTGATAACTCATTAACCTCAAAAGGCCACCCACAGAGACGGGCTCAGAGCTACGCCTTCTAAATGAATCACCTTGATTTACAGGCTGAGTAAATGACTGAATAAATACAACAGTTATTATTTAATAGTAGACGCCTTGGAGCATGACAAAGGCAACACATTTCAATTCCTTGAAAATGAACCCCAGAAAACACAGGGTTTTTCAACGTGGGCGATTCTGCCCACCATTGGGCAACATAAGGAGATATTTTCGGTTGTTACAACTTGGCGGCGGGGGGAGCAGGGGGGTTGCTACATACATCTAGATGGCAGAGGGCAGGGATGCTCTTAAAATCCTACAATTTACTGGACAGCCCTCGCGACAAAGAATTATCCAGCCCAACATCACACGCCGAAGCTGAAAACCACGATATAAAGTCACCAACACTAAAACCAGGGCCAGGAAGCAGGGGAGGCCTCATTGTGCAGGTTGGATCCTGTCAATTTGAAATTTTAGTAATGCGTTCGTCTTGGACTTTTGCACTAATCTTGAGTTTTTAAAATGCTGCATTATGATTGATCTCGATGATTATGTTTTCTCACCCCATTAAATTCTGTTCCCTAGGCACATACCTCCTTTTTACTCTCATCATGGCACTGTTATAAAACCATTAAAAATGATCCTAATCATTGATGTGAGTGAAAAAAAAAAAAGTTGGACAGTGTTATTCTAACAGTGGTTCTTAACCACTGTAAGAAATGCTTCTCAGAATAACCAAATAAGATTTTAAATCCATATGCTCGTCCCACCCCGACAGAATGCATAGGACCCAGGCATACACATATTTAACTCTACAAGAAATTCTGATGTTCAACTCTAGCTAAAAAGAATTATGAAAATACGATGCCTTCTTGTTATAAAGAAAAAAAGAAACACACAAGCATAAACAAACAGCACACATGTCTCCAGACACACAAACGTAGAGAAATAATTGGGCATTTTAAATACTCTGGCGTTAACACTGGTTATTTCTGAGTGATGTGAATATAGGTGATTTCAATGTTTTTTTCATTGTACTTGTTGTCTATAGTATTTATTTCCAGCCCCCTCAAAAAAAGTATCATAAAAAGATATTTTTTAATGAGTCAAAAATAAAGTAAACTGTGTCCCAGAAAAAAATACACAGATAAAAAATTCTTAGGGAGCACAGCAGAGGGAATGCACTTAGCATTAGCTAGGTGGAGGGCCAGGGGGTGGAGGAAGCAATGGGGGGATCGTTTTATGAGCTATATAGATGTCTAACCGATGCACTGTATATTTAAAACTAACTTAAATGAATGAATTTTTTCAAAATTGGGGAAAAAAATTCTTCCTCGAGAAAACATAAAATTAACCTTATCCAACGTTTCCTGTGGATGCAGAAAGCGAGAAAAACACTGCCTGGAACAAGGTTAAGTACCAACTGAATAAACCAGAAACTCACACATTCACCAACGCGCTAAAAAGAAAAAACGAAAGCTCGGCAAATTCCAATTCTAACAACAAATCCTAACAATATTAGAGACAAAAGAGTACGTGGAAAATGGCAGCTCACGGATCAAAATGTGGAGGAGAGTATCAGTTCATGTTTTTTTGAAAACTATGAATTTACAAGTAGAAAACATCCCAGAGCACTCAACAGCGCTGGTCTTGATCTTCTTGGAGGAAGGAGACATCACGAGGCTTCCATTTTCCAGTCTTTCATGTTTGTTTGTTTTTTTTTCAGACACACATATCGACAAAAGTTAAAGATATTTTCATTTGCTGGGGAAATAAAGTAAAATAGGCGACTACATATTCCAGGTAACACAGACCAGTGATCTCAAAGACCCTCTATTTAATACTCTATAAATATTGTATCCGGCATTATGAAACGACAACAACAAAAAAATGAAATTCTAAAGAGAGATGATGAAAATGAAAACCAGCATTTTTCACGGCATTAGCTAATGTCTCGAAATAACATACACTCGGGGTGGGGGGCACTGAGAAGTGTAGGTTTAAAATTACCCTTCGAATTGCCCTTTCTGTAATTCGGTCAAAAAAGAAGATGAAATGCCCACACCCTACAAGCTGGAATCACCCTGAAGACGTTTACGCTGAGTGAAATCAGCCAGGAGCAAAAGGTACCGTATGACTCTCATTCATAGAAAATGTCCAGAGCAGGCAAATCCACAGAGACGGAGAGTAGCCTGGAGGTGGCCAGGGGCTGAATGAGTCCTGGACGAGGACTAGATGCGAGTCTAGAAGATATGGGGTTCGGTTGTGGGTGATGAAAACGGTTAGAAATTACATAATAGTGATGGTTCCATCATGCTGAGAATACACTAAAAAAAACCACTGAGAACTGCACGCTTTAAAAGGGTAAACTTTATGGTTTGTGAATCACATCTCGATTTTGTTTTAGAGGTGCCAATAAATAAATAAGCCAGAGAGAAAAATCATCACTTCCCCTTAGCCCGTCATGGTTTCAGCTCGTAGAGCGGTGGCCGTTTCCCTGTGGTTTGCTTGGGCTTGTATTAATAATCTGGATTTCTCCTGCAGCAGACGTTTAGAGCCAGCTGCTCTCTTTATGAGGGTAATTTAAATAACATCCCTCAAACCAGTCACCTGGACACTCATAAACTGTCATCTCCATTTCAGTGTTCTGAAAATAACCCATTGTAGAATTCTGACTCCCTTCTACAGGACACCTTGTGGACCAGCCCTGACAAACGCTTGCCTGATATATAGAGTGAGGGTCCCTGGGGTCGATCTCCATCAGTAAGATTTAAACTTTGCTTTAACTTTGAAGGTGAAGATGAAATGCGAACAGACGCTCGAATCCTTTCTTCCTGCACGCCAACGAGTCACCTTGCCCACTGCTTTAGACACTGACGTTCTGAAGAATGAGGGAGACCTCAGGTTCACGGCAGCTGTTCTCAAACTCTGTTGTGCTCTAGAATGACCTAGTTCACCAGTTAAAACCGGGGGGCTAGAGATTCTGACCATCCCAAGGAACTGGACCTAGGACCTCGAGGTACCGTGCTCTATGAAACACGGTTATAAAATCCTACTAGTAAACTCTAAAAGTCAGATGAACGAAATGGGCTCATAATGGGAACCTTTTAGGACTGGTGGATATATTCTAAGATTGAATTGTAGTGGTGGTTCTGGAACTCTGTAATTTACTTAAAAAAATTACTGAATTGTACACTTAACATAGCTGAATTCTATGGTATGTAAATTATACCTCAAAAGAGCTGTTAAAAAAACATGAGCAAGCCTTCATATGTCTCATCACCAAATTATTTATAGGTTTACTGCAGGATTTTTAGATGTCACGATGAAGGATGCAAACGCCACATTGGGACTGGGGTGTACTGTAATTCTGAGCTCACGCCAACCTCGAAATGCCCTAACCCCCTTAACACTTCAGCTATTTTAAACCCAAGGCCAACCGACAGGATGGGAAATCAATTTATGAGCTTCCACTACGGAAGGGTGAAGAGTTAGAGTTCACAGTAAGAAATGTCGTTTTCTAATTCTTAACGTTTTGCAAACAGTGTTATCTGTGCTAAACCAATAATGGACCATAAAAGCTGAACCACACATACATCCTGAGAAGCAATGGCTTCTGTTAATACCACGAGCCCTTAAAAACACCACCAAAATGGGCAAGGGGGTACACACCATGGCTATGGGGCTGTGTGATACAGTCGCCAGCACTGTCGAGAAGGGGGATGAGCATGAGAGACACATTGGGCCCTGAGATGATAAGCAGGAAGAGATCCACACAGGAAACTCTCAGGAGGGTCCCAGAAGGCACCTGGGGTTGATGGCTGAGATGAAGCTATTCCAAGACACAGAAACGAGGCCGCTCAGCCTGCCCTAAATGCCAAAGGCTGCGGTGTAACCGGGGTGGGTGGGAGGAGAGGCTGAACTGTGGGAGGGGAGTAGAGAGGGGACGCAGGCCACAGCTGGACCCCACCGGACGTCTCGGACCCCAAGAGGGAGCTGACGGGACCCGAGCGGTCCTGTGCTCCTAGCGGGGAAGCGTGAGGAGGAACAGGGAACCGTGTGATGGTCACAGCAGAGGGGCAGGCCAGAGAGCGTGCACTTTCTGCCTCCGGAGTGACGGCGGATGAAGACGAAAGGCCAGACAGGAGATCTGCTACAAGTGGGCCTGTGACTGAGGCGGGGGTGATGGCAAGGAAGCGGGGGCATTTCCCAAGCCCCTGCCTGACGCGGCCGGGTCGATGGGGGCGGCACGAGGACGAGAACCTCTAGAAGAGAAGCCGCAGCAGAGAAGAGGAAAGGACCCCGGGTATCCTGTGCTTTGGATGCAGCGGCGACGCCAAGCGTGCAGGGGGTTCCAGGCTGAAGCTCCAGGCCTCAGTCAGGGTACTTGGCTCATTCCACTGGCCAAGAGGGTAGCAGACGGCGGCAGGGGCCATCAGCACCCACAGGGAGACGGGAGCTGGGGGAGGCGGGCACCACCTGGAAAGTGCCACGCGGGGCCCAGCACAGAGCCCGGGAGACACCAACGCTGCACCCCGCGCAGAGCAGACGGGTCAGCGGAGGAAAAGGGGCCGGGGCTGACTGTGGCTCCTCCTCCACGCCCAGCCAAGTCCTCGGAGTGTCCGGCAGGCCAGAAGAACGCCTTTGAGAAAGATCAAGAATCCGCCTGGACACAAGCCACATCCTTCCTTAAGCTACGAGCGTTTCACGGTTGCTCCTAGATGGCGACATTGCATGGGTCGGGTGAACTGTTCTCCATTTGAAATCCACTCCCGTCAAACATGTGGCGACAGGAAGAAATCTAACTAGGGGCGGTGAACGCAGTGTAAACAGATACATGCCTCACTGTTAAAGTGTACGGCTGAAACTTACTGGATTTCATTAACCAATGTCTCCACAAAAATAAATTAATTAATTGAAATTAAATCCACTCCCACATCCACACTACCCGCCCCCCCCGGCCCGGGCTCTGCCACTTTCAGCAGGCACCCCAGAAGTCCAGGTGTGCCCACTAGCGCACATTCTAGAAAACTAAACCTTGACTATAACTGCATCATGAAGCAGTCAAGGATTCCGCCTTTAACTCTTACGCAGAAATACTTCGCATTTTTAACGGACCTTCTGACAACAGAATCATTACCTACCTTGATAAATTTCAGCAAAATACGGCCTCTTAACCCTCTCGTCTCCAAATAAGAGCCATAACTCGTACCTGGTCTAATGCGGTCCACCCTTGCCCTGCCCCTGTCTCGGAATTACCAAGGGCTTTGAGTGTTTGTTTGCTGTGTCATCTTTCTTTTCAAACACAGACGCCCAGGCTCTCCCCTAATCTTCATCAGTCAGAATCTCTAGGTAATGGGCGTAAATCAAAGTCTTTCGTTTTGTTTTTAAACACCAATTCTGATGAGCGGCTGCGGGGAGGACCCACTGACCTAACTTTCTAAGAGGATCGGGACACAGACACAGATTTTACTCTGAAAAACTGGTTTTTAAAAAACTACATAGGAAAAAAATACGGGGGCAGATAAGTTGGAAGTCCTCTCTGATGAATTAATTTCTTCTCCATGATGGCTGAGTTGAATCCAGACAAGTAAAGCTAACCAGTAATTTCACGATTTCACAAAAAGACCACGAATAATTACTGTTTTGGCTCATAACCGGGGAAAAGTTAAAAAAAAATATGTTCAAAAAACCAATCACGGCAGATTCTCAAAGCTCCTTCTGGCACCAGTTACTGGGCAAGTAATTTTCCGTTAGGTTTCCCCAATATTCATTAATATTTCAATGGCGGATTAACCCTTGGAATGAGGAAGATGGGGAAAAACCTCAGCTACGACTTTATTCGAAATGTAAAAGGATAATGGTTGCCACAGGTTCAGAGGGGAAGGTGGTTGGGGTGAAGTGGGGGAGTGACTGCTAATGGATATGGGGTTTCTTTTGGGGTGATGAAGATAAAATTGATTATGGTGATGGTTACACAACTCTGTGACTATCCTAAAAGCCCACTGAATTGTACACTTCACATGGGTGAATCACATGGTGTTATGAATTATATCGCAATATGATGTTGACATATGTAAAGGAATTGTTTTGGGTATTGAAAGAGAAAACTTTACCTGAGTATAAATACTAAATATGTGGCTTTGTACTTCATCCATTGAGTCGAGGCCGTAGGCCACTGTGCCCAGATGGAGCCGTTTGAACACCATCTCGTTCTGGGTAAGAGTTCCTGAAACACAAGACGAATGAATGAGTGCCGACATCCTGGAGCTTTCACTAAAGCATTAACAGTCATCACAGTTGTTATTTTCTGAGTTTACTAGTGTCACGCACTGGTTTGGACACCGCCCCTGACGGAGTAGACGTCAGTCGCATTTTGTCAGCCCAGAATCCAACTCCCTGTCTTTTGAAAATGACATCCTAGGTTTCCATGGGGACATTACCCCCCTTTATTTCCTGGGATGGTCCACAGAGAGTGTCAGTCAGGGTACCTGGCTCATTCCACTGGCCAAGAGGGTAGCCCCTGGCATATACTAGGCCAATCAGATTCTATCTTGAAGGAACCTGAAACTCGAGCTGACAGATACATGGATAAATAGCATCATGTCACCCCAGTGACAGAGGCCTACAGAGACCATCCCAAGGTCCTGATGCTGACATATCCAGAACTTTCCTGGCTCCTTTCCTTCCAGAAACCTAGTTTTTCTCTGATTTGGTGAGCCACTCTAGATCTCTGCAATGGATTCCCTTTTATCCTACGGTCACTAAATGTAGAGACGAAGCTTAAACTCAGGTCTCCCCACTCCCCAGTCCTTGCCCTTAACCACGACGATCTTAAATTGTGGAGCAGCATTTTGGGGTGTGGTAATGAGATTAGAGCTTGAAGCCAGAACGCCTGAGTTCCAAAGCCTGCTTCTGCCACTATGTGCTTAGGACAAGCCAGTTAACTTCTGTGTTTCATTTCTTCATCTGTAAAATAGGGATAAAAATATTCACCAGGTAACTCCCAAGATCAGGGTAAAGATTAACTACGTAACTATATGTAAACACCCAGAATGCTGCTTTCCACGTAAATAGTACCATGTAAGGCTCTGCTGCTATCATTGCCAAGTAGCAGCAGCATCCATCCGTGGCATCTCTAGAACGCCACCATCACCAAATAATCGATCCTCACCAAAAACATGACGAAAATAAAGTAGCAGCAGCATCCATCCGTGGCATCTCTAGAAAGGGGATCCAAGCACCTTCGCTCACCTTGAATGCCGGGCGGGCCCCAGGAAGCTCACCTGTCTTGTCTGTGAGTACGTAAGAAATCCTCCCCAGCTGCTCAGGAATCGTGCTGGAACGAACCACAGTCCCAGGGATTTTGGAATCCCTTCGAATCACCCAGCTGTACACGATCTTCCCCATGTCCAGATTCACGCGCAAGCTGGGCAGGAAATCAGAGCGAACCGGTTAACAGGATCGACGCCAGGCTGCTGTGTCCCTCATGGCAAACGAGGAATCGAAACACACATCCTACAGAAGCCGCTGCCGCAGCCGCACCCGCAGATATGACGAGTCCACACCGCGATGGAATAACACATGAAACGAACCATTGTTTTCATGCAGTTATTCCGTCACGGACCAAGGTCACTCAAAGCACTAAAAGCGGAGTTTCGGCCTTTTTAAAAAATTACTGGTGCTCTGAGCTAATATAATTTTGGTCACATATTCATTTTTTAAATTATGGTGAAATACATAGAACGTCAGATTTCCTATTTAAACCATTTTACGTGGAGACAGTGCTGTGGCATCAAGTACATTCACGCTGCTGTGTGTCCATCACCACCATCTCCAGAATTCTTCTGTCTTCCCAAACTGAAATTCTAAACCCCTTAAACGATAATTCCCCAGCCCCCCCTTAAACGATAATTCCCCAGCCCCCTCTCCCTGGACACCATCATTCTACTTTCTGTCGCTAGGAATGTGACTACTCTAGGCCCCTCATATAAGCAGAATCACACAGCATTTGTCCTTTTGTGCCCGGCTCATTTCCCTCGGTCTCAGGTCTTCAGGGTTCACCCACGTTGCAGCACGTGTCAGAAGCTCCTCCTTGTTTAAGGCTGCATAATATTCCATCGTGTGTATTCTACTCATATTAAAATGTTATTTTATTCCAAAAAATAAAACTACATCCTCAAATTCATTCGTAATCCTTTAATCAAACTGCTTACTATTTATTTTACTGGCTGGCCCTAGGCCATGTGAAAATTCAATTCACTAATTTTTCAATCATGTTGTAGATGGAACTTTAAAGACTATAATTTCACTTAACATTATACCACGAACTTTTTTTTTTTTTTTTTTTTTTGGCTGAAAATAAAGTAGACTTATTTATTCTTTGAAACCATCATCCAGAGCATGTCGGCTAGGGGATTCGAGCCCTCAAATTTCACTAGTGTGAAATAGTATGAATCACACTATTTCACCAAAACCAGTCTCTGTCCTCAGAAAAATACAAATTCTAGCTAGGATGATATAAATATGTAAACATAAGGCAGTGTATCAAGGATAAAATAGAGATTATAAGCACTATAAGTTTCAGAAAAACTATAGCTCATTTTAATAATCATTTACTGCTCATTTATTATGGAGAAAAAAACAAGTATATAACAATATAGTACTAAATAAACTGTTAAAACTAGACTACATATTAGGACCATTCTAAAAATAGATGGGGTATAAGCACATTTGATATGAAAAGTTATTTGCAACACAAGCTGTTAAAATACAAGGGAGAGGCAGGTTTTATGTAGAGCAGAATCTCTTTTTTCTGAACTAGAAAGCAGCACCTCCCAAAATATTAACAGAAATCATCACTTAGTTGTGAGATTAGAGGTGATTTTTATTTTAATCTTTTTTCTACTCTGATCATCTATTACTTATATCACTTTTTAAACCCTTTATTCAGCTTCCAAAGGAGGCAAGCGAATAATAGGCACATGCCACCAAGCAACCATTGCTAATCGGTCACAATATTATTTCCTGTTGAGCACAGACTCAGGCTCAGAATCCTTCTCGACACAGTCCTCCCAACAGCCAGTACCGACCTCTCGGGCTGACAGCTGTGATGAACTCTAAGTGGCATCCGAGCATAGCCTGTGCAAGGCCGGGCAAGATGTCTTCAGTAGAGAGTCATTCGAGAAAAGAGGGACCCTGGAGGCACGTGGCTTCCCAACGCTACAGCCACGGAGCGTGGCTCGCACTACTGACCCCGACTGTCTTTGGCCATTACTCTACTAAGGGACCAGCTAATAAAGAGAAGGAAAGGTCACAGCGCACTAACAACCGCTCGTCCTCTGCTCACCTGATGGGAATGATGTTGGAAAACAAGAGGAGGAAGCGGATGATCTGTAGGTACCACCGACCGGCAAAGTGCTGGAGGGCCACCATGACCAGCGACACCACCACCAGGGCGCCAAAGAGGATCTTTGTGAGGCAGTTCACTTCCAGGTCAAACAGGCCAATCTGGGGGACAAAGGAGAGCCTGAGGTTAGCTGGTGCAGCCCACAGCCCACCTGGAGAGCGGCCCTTCTCCCATGAACACCTCCTCCCAGGTGAGACAGTGGGGCCCGTCAACCCCTACAGTTTTGGTTGAGAACACTGGGTGCCATGGGACCGCAAAAAATCCTGATTTCCATTTTTTTAAATGACGTAAGCAGGCTTAGACCTGGAAATATATAGGCGGGGTGCTGCTGCGTTTGGGGGTCTGCGCACTACATGGCCTCTACCATCCTACACGGTGACCAACAAAATGACTCGGGCCTACACGCTCAGCTCCGGGCCACACATGAGTTCAGATCTGCCTGAAAGTTCAGGGCATGAGCCACTGGTGGCACCTGAATTTCAGGTGTTGCACTGATGAACTCTGCAGTATTCTGACTCTTAAAAACTGGAGGAGGGGTGAGGCCAGGAGGGAAGGTGACCCCACACATCCGGTGACCATGTACACACCTTGCTTCGAGGGCTGGAGGCATTCATGACACTCCGGAGTTCTCTGCCCGTGTAAAGAACCACACCCACGACGGTTCCTGAAACAGGAAAAATGCCAGGTGAAGAAACGTTAGTGCAGACGGGCGGGCTTGGCCACCGAAGGGCCTGACCCGCCTGCGAGGGCGATTTCTAAGTCCGACGACACCCGTCCCAGTGTTCACATCAAGCCAACCAGTGAGCTACGGCCGCACTGACCGGTAAGGTGGCCACGTGCGGCAACGTAAATTCAAATTCAATTTAAAATCAAATACAATACGGGGCTGGTTAGTGGCTGCCATGTGGGATGGGACAACAAAGACACAGAGCATTTCCATTATGGCTAAAAGTTCTACTGGTCAGTGCTGGTCAGCACTGGTCCATGGGGTCCAGCCGCCTGATGGCACGGGAAGTAGGGGAGCAGTGGTTTGTCCTTTTGCCACTGGCCTTAGAGGCTTCCAGAAGTGCCTAGGACATTCCCATCTTTATAAACTATTATGGAAACTTATGAGTACGCCCCTTATTACAGCACATCCTTCCCGCCGAGTCTGATCCCGTTCAGATTCCATGTTCAACTCGAACACTTAGGGATGCCTGTCCAGATGACAATTCTCTCCTGACAAATCCCCCAGCCCCCTGCCCAGCCCCCACTGCAGTGCAATAAGGAAAGACATCAATCCTTCTAAAAGTAAACAATTTAGCGAAGAAATACAAACGGCCAGTTCACATGAGAAAAGATGCTCGACCTAGCGAATAAGCAAAAAAAAAAATGCAAAATAAACTTTTTTTATCCCTATCCTAGTAACAAAAATTCCAAAGACTGGTTTGCCGTGTCAGCCAGGAGTTAAGGAAATGGACCCACTGGCTGGAGTGTGAACGAGGACGACCTCTTTTGGGGGGAATTGTCATTATCCATCAAAAATTTACCTTTGTCTCCTCTCTTCAGTGTGTGCCGAGAACATGCTCAACACAGTGCAGCAGACGGACAAGAAGAAAAGCAAGGACCGTCGCCACGAGAGACTGCTAGGGGCCGCGACGAACACTAGCTGAGGACGGAGGGAGAGCCGGGGAGGGAGGAGGAGGAGGAGGAGGAGGAGGACGCTGGTCCCCGGGGTCAGAGGAGCTCTCTGCGGTGAGGACATCTGAGCTGAAACCTGACACAGGAGAAGGGGCCGTCCCCGCAAGCTCTCGGGAAGACCCCAGGAACACAAACACCTAACCTTCTGTCCCCCCGCCCCTCCGTCTCTCAGCCGCCCTGGTAGAGGGACATCCAAACTCGCACAGAGGTGCACACAGTTTCCGGTAGCCGAGGCCGACCTAGAGGAAGTGCTGGGACTATGTGTCCTGGACAAAGAGCCCCGGGAGGAGACACTGAAGCTTCCCCCTCATCCCCCACGCCGCCCCCCAAATTCGGTGTCCTCCAGCAGAATGCGGGCCTCTTCCAGGCAGGCTGCCGGCAGATGGCAGGCCGGGGAGAGCTGGCCGGCCGGCTCCCAGGCAGATGGCAGGCTCCCCTGCTCACAGGCCGGTCGCCACGGCAGATGGTGGGACCGTGGGAGCCGAGCCTGGGCTAAGCTCACTCGCTCCTCTCTCCATCTCAGCGCCCGATGTCCAGGGTTCGAGAGGTTTCAGAGCAAATCCACAGACCTTTCTCTCTTCCCATCTCCTCTATAAAACAAGGGCCCCCAAAGGGAGGGTCTCCCCACTGGCACCGGCCAACCTCGAGGCCTTTAACACTGCTGAATAACGCCTCCCCCCACTCCCACCCAGCATCGCCCTGTGCTCAAGACCAAAACCGGACCCCGGCCTCAGCCACCAAGAGAAGGCACGGCCGGCCGCCTCCGTCTGCACAGAGCTTTAAAGGCACTGAATTAACTGCTAACTTTTAAAGAGAGGAACTTTCATTTAAAAAACTGCGATTTCTGATTTCCTTTGGAAAATCGGAAGCTCTGGTGATGCTGGGTCTACGTTCCTCACGTGACCCCAGTCTCCCTGTGACTTCCCCGCTCCGCACGCTGTCACCTCTGCCGTCCCTCCTTGCTCTCTCTGGTTCTCAACCGTCCTCGCTCTCTGCAACCTGCAGACCACGGAACCTTCTCGGTCCTGCCAGCCGGGCCCCCAGCTGGTTTCTCCAAGGAGCCAGGCTGTCGTGACCGGCATGTCACCAAGTTCTTTGTAACTCTCCACAACAGTGTGGTCCTGGGGTCAGACCTTACTGTGACCCCTTTGTTCCCTGTCTGCAACAAGATAAATGCTGAACCCTGGAGAGCGAGCATTCAGAAACGTTTATGGCAATTAGACACCGCTGTGACGCACAGGACGGGCCCGCTGAACAGGGGACAGCCCAGCAGGGCGTCATGAAACTCGTGTAGCAAGGTGCACGTGGTATGAACTGCATGCTAGTCAAACACAGCAGGGCCACGGACCAATCTGCTACAGATTGGTCAGCTTTGGGCGTGGAGGGTACGGGGGAGGCCAACAAATTGGTCCCTCACCACCGAGCGTCTGAGAAGAACTGGACTAGAACACCTGGGCTCTATACCATGTCTAGGCCACCTTTTCTGCTAAGTCTCCCCCATCCCTTCCCTCCCTGTCACCATCCTGGGGTCTCCTCGGCTTAGCATCACTGTTACGTTACCATGGCAACTGCATCCTCTACAGATGGACCCTGCTTGGCGAGCTTATTTTTTAAACTTCCAACTAATAACAGCCAAGTGACCAAGTAACAGGAGCTGGATTCTAAAGGGAACACAGAAGCAAACTTTTGTAAAATTAGGATTACTCTGGATGGCTGTTTCTCGAGTCGAGCACCAGAAGGAAGTGGCTTGCCTTCAACGTCACGTTTGCATTAGAAATCAGAGTGCAGTCAGATGTCTACTCAGTGAGAAGCCGGGGAAACAGGCCAAAAACGTGGCATGAACTGCATGCTAGTCAAACACAGCAGGGCCACTGACCAAACGGAAAACGCCCAGGTGCTCAGACTCACTCTGAAACATCTGCCCGCTGAGGGGCGTGGCAGCCAGTGCCATTGCTGAGATCAGTGTTCTCTCTCTCCCCACATCACCAAGCACAGAGAGATTAATTCACACAAACAGGGGGGAAAATGCACGTTTTAACTCCACAGAACTGTTTGGAATCTTTTCCACTGTCTCCAAGATCTCAATTTGCCTTCCAATCTCCTCCTCCTCCAAAGCTGTGTGACCTTTGGCAAGTCGCTTAACCTCTCTGAGACTCCCGCATCCCATTAAATGTCCTCATGTTAATGCTGTGGGACCAAAACAAGAGAATGACAAGCAAAGCACTCTAAATAAGAAGTGCCTCATAAAGAAAGGATTTTTGTTAATCTCTGAGACTGAGGCTGACACAACAAACCTTTTCGACCTCATCCCCTCTACCTCAGAATTCTCTGCATCTTCACCTAAATCGTTTGCTTTTCTTAGTCATTTCAGAGGAAAGTCACAGAAGTCTCTCCCATTTCTTCTCCTCTCCTCTGTAACCTAGATTAAATTTATAGTAAATTACAAAGCCCAGGAGCGTGGAGAGCAGGATTTTCGGGGCGTACCGCTTCAGCACCAGCTCCTAGCAACGGAGCTCAGCATTATTATTAGATATCGGCGCTCGGTTAAGTTTGCTGCATGGAAAGAAGGAAAGCGGGAAGGAGGGAGAGGAGAAAAACCAGCGGAATGAAAACGAGACATACGAACAGGTATTTATTATTGAAACAGCAATATTATCAGAACAAGTACCTAACCAAACAAATCGAGGTTATGAGAAGCCACAGTGTGGCCAGTCGGTAACCGAGCAGAGTATTAGGGACCAATTTCTCACTTCTCCAGTCATCTGAGGAACGGAGAGACGTTCCAGATTATGCTGCAAACGCCAGTGTAGAAAGGAAACATGGCGAACCGTAAAAGGGGTTGCTCATCTCCGTCCATCTGCACTAAGCGGTGACACGAGGCGACTCGGCATCATTTGTGCCGGTCATTCCCTTCCCCCGTCACAGGGTCCTGACTGAGTGTCTGTTGTACTAAAGAGCCACACAGAAGCACCGAGCAGAGGAAAATGGGTTGACAGGAAGGAGATATCACACTTGACGAGGAGAAAAACAACTGATTCCTCCGATAGTAAAGACAGAAAGTCGCAGGCTCTAGAATTATATGTTAATAACAGCGTTTATCATATGATGTGTGTGATATAACAACAGCTGCACGATGAGTTCTGCTTCCGGAGCAAAGTGCCTGGGTCCAAGTCCCAACTTTGCTTTTTCGCTGCTGTGTGACCTTGAGCAAGTTACTTAAGCTCACTGAGCCTCGGTTTCCCCACCCGCAGAATGGGGAATAACACTAGCCCCACCCTCATGGTACTTTTGGGAGAATTAAGTGAAATGTCTAAGAGGCACTGGGCTTGGCACGTGCCAGGCACCCACCAACACCTGCCAGGACTGCTGCAGACCCAGCTCAGCCCCCCCAAACCTCTTCTGTTCAGCTTTGTCCCATGCTCAAAACCACAGGGCACCCATTTCCATGGCATCTTGGTGTCCTCCAGGCTGAGGCTCCGACTCAGGCCGAGGGCCGTGTCCTGCACCCTGGAGCCCCGTACCAGCGGGAGGCGCTCAGCAGCCCTGACAGAGGCAGATCCCTGGCAGCATGGCCGGGCTGACCCACTTTCTGGTAGAGATGAGACCGTCAGTCTGCAGGGGCAATTAAGGGCTATGCCCCAGAGCGGACGCCGCAGAAAAGTCCGCAGGCCAGAGCCGCTTCTCTTCCCCAGGTCTCTAAGTGTCCGAGGGGCAATTAGATGCCAGTTTAAGTCCCCAGAGGTCTAGGAACGAGTAGAAAACACCATCTGACCGACGAGGACTCATTTTCCCAACCGACGGATGATTATGTCCAATTACACAAAAGGATTTTCCTTTCCTTTTCAAATTGCTAACATATTCCTCAAAAAAAGGGGACGCCTCACCTGATGCGACGACAGTGCCGGCCCAGAGCGCGTTCTCTATGCTCAGGCTCTCGCTGACGGGAGGGTCGCTGTCCTCCTGGAGGGGACCACATGACACACGCTTACCTACCGAGGCTCCGAAAGGACACACAGGCCGTTTCCACCCTGCCCTTCTCCAGCCAGGAGGAGGAGGACGACCCGCTCAGAGCCGACGGCTCAGCCAGGGGAGACGGGCCGAGCCCACGAACTACAGTCCCAGGGGGGCCCCTCCCCAGGGAGACACCTGGAAAAGCTGGCTCGCGACTTAAGGAGTACAAGCCTCGGACCCCGAAGAAGTGTTTCACGAGGTGGGAACTAAAACGTGAGAGCGGATCAAACAGGAAGTGTGTTCCGGCTCACAGGAAGCCTCAGTTTAGAACCTATCATCCCAGATTCCGAACGTAACGTAAATCCAAATTTAATTTCTATTCTGGATGGTTGAGAAGTGGCTTAAAAAGTGTCACAGCGGCAGACGGGCCTTTTACGAATAAAAAAACCTGGGCCCATCTGATAGAGACAGAAAGGGTAAAATGCGTCACAAAGACGTCAGCATCAATCATAACAATGCTTGGGGCCACGCTGTCAGGTGATTCGGGCTGTTCAGAGGCTGGGAGAAGGCCCAGTGCTGTTGGCCTTCCAAGAATCGATAGGTCAGCTTTCGAGGTGGGGGAACCTCGACCCTGCCTGGCATAAAGCCACCGCCCGACAGAGACCTGTCCAGGCTTCTTTGCAGGCTTTCGTCACGTGTGCACACTCTCAGACAGACAGGATTCCGCCTTCCGCGAAGCCTACTCACCCTGGTAAACGTTCCTACGAAGTTGTGAATGTCGATGTTGGGCTCCTCCGCGTAGATGTAAGATCGGATCTGAAGGAGGTCCTGCTCGACAGAGGTAACATTTCGGAGTTAGAACAAAGTCAGTGCATGAGTAGAGAGATTTCAGGAGGCAGCCACACTTTTTCAAAAGCGACTGTATTTCTGAAACAGGACAAACAGGCTCACAGCATGATGGGGCCGGTGGAAAAAAAAGGAACAGTCTTCCATGAAGGAACCTGAGGAATTGCTACGTGCAGCATCCCCAGACGCTGGGAGACGCTGGGGTGAGGATTCTGGCTCCCCAGTGTCTGACGGCGCAAACCCACACCTGCCAAACTCCGGGTTCCAGCGTTTGTTCATGGCAATGAACACTCACTCTCTCAACAGACAGTTATTGGGCACCTACTCGGTGCACAGCCCTGGAAAAAGCAGGGGTGGGAAGTGACCAAGAGCACCGCACATCCATCAGGATGGCTGCTACCGAAAGGAAAAAAGAAAGAAAACAGTTAAGTGCCGGCAAAGATGTGGAGAAACTAGAACCCGTGCGAGCTGTTAACGGGCGTGTGAAAGGCTGCAGCCGCTGAGCCGGGCAGCAGGGCGGGTCCTCAAAACGTTAAACGTGGGATTTCCGTTTGAACAGAAAGCCCGTTTGCTGTGACTTGAAAGCAGGACCCCAAAGGGACATGGGTACCCCCGTTTTTGTCGCATTATTATTCACAACAGCCGAAAGGTGAGCGTAACCCAAGTGTCACCGACGGGTGAACCAACAGCACGGACTCTAAACATACAATGGAACATCACTCAGCCTTAAAAAAGGAGGGAATCCAGACAGGTGTGAGTCCATGGGTGGACCTCGAAGACGTGATGCTGAGCAAAATAAGCCCGTCACGAAAGGACCAGTACTGCACGACTTCACTCCTCTGAGGTCCCTAGAGTCGTCAGACTCAAAGAGACAAAAAGCAGAACGGTGGGAGCCAGGGGCTGGGGTCGGGGGAAACGAGAGGGTGTCACTCAACGGGCAGAGTTTCAAGAGATGGATGAGACAATGGCCACACAGCCGCGTGGAGGTACTTAACACCACCAAACTGTCCGCTTAAATATGTCAGGGTGATAAATCTTACGTGATGTGTATTTTACCACAATTTTAAAAACCGGGGGGGAAACAAACACGCATTTTCGTCAGGCACATTCGGACCCCAATGTCGCAAGGCAACAAGGGGCTAGAGTGGAGGCCACTGGGCGCCCCTCAGGCAGGGCCCGAGCTCGCTGCCGGGCTGGGAGGCCCCGGACACAGACGCATTTGCACAGCTGCCTTGCTGGACCGATGAGAAAAGACTCAGAGACACACCAAGTGCAGGAGGAGAGAAGCTGCAGAATGACCGAGACGGACCGATGCCACTTGCAGACAGCCGCACCCTCCAAGCGGGCTGCAGCTGGCGAGGCCTGAGGGGGTGCCCTGGAGAGGACCTGCAATGGGCGCCACTGAGGTCACGCGGCCCCTTGTGGGGAAAAGGCAAAATGAGACACAGGGGCTGGGAGCAAGACTTCTCACTTTTTCCTCTTTCTATATAATTTGACTCTTTTTTTTTTTTTATAAACAAGAATATATTCACACGCAGGAAATCTTTTCATATAATCTTTTAATCCACAACTTGGTTAAAATGCTGCTCCTCACTCAGGCCCCTTCGGCCACTAAGGCCGAGAGTTCAAACGAGACGGTGGTATCTTACCCTTTCTCCAGAGCCCAGCCCAGGCTGGAACCAGACGAGGGGCAAAGAGCGTTTATGACACAGAGCGATGCTTCCAAAACACACACCCAGAACTAGAATCTGTGCCGCAGGGCGGGCGGGCAGGCAGCGTCGTGATTCTAGGCTCTAGACTGTCTCCTAAGGAGAGTCCTTCAAATCGCGTGACAACCAGAATCTTTTCTTTGGAGAAATCACACCGGGACGTCGAATACATCACCCAGATAAAACCAGAACCACCTGGTTAGACAAGCACCATCTCTGGGGTGCCCGGAGACTTCAAAGGGTTCCCAGGGCTCCCGACTCCATTTAGAAACTCACTGTTTCGGATTTCCTGCTTTAAAAAGCAGTTAATAGTGGTGCCGGTTCACTTGGTATCGGAGACGAAAACCATCAGCACCACGGGCACACTTACTGCTGGGCTAACTCTACGGCGACACAGAACTTTCTCTCACCCACGCCTTCCCTCACAGAACTGGCAAGGAGTGGCGTCAACCCACGGGACCACGAGCCCGGGAAGCGCTTACGTGTCCCGCGTGATGCTCTCAGACCCCACCGATGGGGCAGGTCGGGCTCCAGGCATCTGAATTACATTCTGCCATTTTGTGACCTAGTCCACGGGCCACACCCAACCACGCAGCTTGTGTTCAAGGTTACTCTTTGACTCTCTCCCCACTTTCTCACTCTTCACATCACAGGGTGAGCGGTGTGGGGCTGGTGAGGTACGATGGGGTTCTGGGGAGCTTTAAGCACCTGTTGGGTCCAACCACTGAGACCGCCCCCTTAGAGAGGACCTGGATGCTGTTCCACGCAGTTCTATATGCTGTTCCATGCACTGTCCTACAAGCTGCTCCATGCGCTGGGTGTTCGGCAGTGGGCAGAACCCTGCTCTTGAAGATACAGGGTTCTTCCTGTATCTTCCTTGAAGCGAGTGGAGCGGGGTGCAAGCAGAGGGAGATCATAAAGTGCCTGTCAGATAAGGAGACCCGTGCGCAAAACCCAAGGACGTGGCGATGCCCGGGCAGCAGACACTGGGGTGCGACTGCTCCCAGCGCACACGGCAAGGGCAGGGAGCGGAGGCGGGAGCTCGGAGAGGCCGGCGTGGCTGCAGGTGGGAGAGGGCCAGAAGCAGAGGTCAAGGCCTCAACAGAGAGACAGATCTCCTGGGCTTGAGGATGACGGCAAGGACGGTAGGACAGCTTCTCAGTGAACCGAGAAGCCTCCGGAGATTCCCAGGCAGAGGAATGACAGGCTCTGGCTTATCTGTCCATTTTACGCTAGGGTCCCTTCAAAGAGCTCCATCCTGCACGCCAGGTCACGTGGCCACAGGAACCGACCAGCGCTCAAGGTTCCCCAGGACCCCACCCCATCCCACCAGCCCCTGTTCACACCTGACATCGCATGTCTGGCCCCTGAGGGCACCTGAGTTGGAGAGCCCCGACATGATAAGTGCCAGTTTGGACCCTGCGGGGAACGCTACTCACAGCGGCCGTGGGGAGCCTCTGCGTGCAGGCCACAGGGAGCCGCAGCTTCCAGTCCGTCTCCCCGTCCAGCTGATCCGTCCGCAGGAAGCAAGACCCTGTGGAAGGAAGTGGGGCGCCATCTAGTCACCCGCAACTCAAGAAGCCTTCCCTTGGCAGCTCCTGCTCTGGTCCTTGTAAAAAGAGCCAATCGGTGGCCAACAACCAAAAGGGAAGATGAACACCTGATTCCCCACGTCCTCCAGGAGCTCTGGGGTCAGACCCGCTGGTTCTGGGGTCAGAAAGGTCTGGGTTCGAATTCTCACTCCACCACTCATTCACAGGAGGAACCTGGGCCAGTTCCCTGACCTTGCCAAGCCTCAGTATGTCCTATCTGTAATGCGGGGTGAAGCACAGGCCTCACAAGCTTGTTGTCAAGAGTCTGAGGGTGACAGAACCCCCAACATGGCAGCTGGCGTGGGGTAACCAGCACCTGAGTCTGTCATGGGCGAGGGTAATGAGCACCTCCTGGATTCAAGTCTGGGCTCCGCCACTTCCTAGCTGCCTCAGTTCCCCTGAGTGCAAAATTGGAACAATAATGGCATCGACCTCATGCTGTGAGGACCGAAGAGCTGACCCATGCAAACTGCCCAGACAGAGCTACGAAAGCATCTGCCGTCATTACCAGCTCGCACGTCGCACGGGTCGGTAGCTCAGTCTGACGTACACGTCCAAGCCATCATTGGCTACACACGTCATCAGAGGTGATACTGAATTTACTGGCACTGCAGTCAAGATTTCAGAGAACTCTTCGGGAAGAATGCTTCTAATCTTTTCGTTTGTGCGTTTGTTTGTCAGATCAGAGACCCTAACCCATAACACTCCATTTTCAGTAACTGGGGTACAGGAACTGATTAGAGAGAGCCGAGCCGCAGTTTTTAAAAGGCCGTTTTCATCTGGTGCCTTCCGCCCCCTTTCTACATTACTTAATATATCTTTAGTATAAAATTTCATCCATTCTTTTCTTCAATTTGTAATGAAATAGGTTGCAGCAACCTCAAAGGAATAGAAAAGCGAATTTTTCAAGGGTTCAGAGATCTCTGATGGTGCCTGATAGTTGAGAGAAAAACAGCCTTGTTTCCTCAGAGTAGCTTAAATAACAAAAAATAAAGAAAGAAAGGAGATTTGAGTCAACTGATGGGGCGGGCAGGCAGCGGTGCCATGCAGGCCGGGAAGTCAGTGCAGTGGGCAGGGCCTCGTAAAAGCCTGAGCGGCTCACTCGGGCCCAAACGGGCTAGAACAGTAAACGTATTGATGGGTCCGCCGCTCACTGGTTTCTCTACTGCCCCATCTCATCGCTGGTGCATCTTCTGGTATTTTTCTCAGAAAACAGAGGATTTCTGGGTGCTTCTCTCTACCAGGCCTACTTCCTCCTCTAGCCAACTCCCGAAGTTGAGCTTAATGCAACCCACAGAGGACAGCCGCCGCCGCCGAGTGTGTGACTTGACCAGCTGTGACTCAGCAGGGGTCCAACTAACTGTATCTTTGTGATAATCAAAATCTATTGACCTGCTAGCACCAAAAACACTTTTTTTTTTTTTTTGATGACTACTCTATTAAAAGAGCTGTTTTTGATTTGCCTCCATGGCTCCAAAATGATCATCTACTTCTGTTACATTTTCAAATGATTATTTTGCCAAATTACCACTGAAAGGTTAATGGTTATTTTCAAAATTGATCCCAGATGTTTACCGTTTTTTTCTGACGTCCTCAGGAAGATCATGTCAGCAGGCACCCGCTGGTTCTGAGTTATGAAAAGAAAGGCTGTTACTGTGAATACCCATGT